ATCAAGACGCGAGACAAGAACGCTTCGTGACGCAACAATTCTGTGCCGTTTGTTTCCGCTTAGTAGTTTGAGTTGTCATTTGTGTGTAAGGAGAATACAAGCGCGGAACAATGCAAACACGTCGATACCGCGATGTAACGCGGATCCAACTCTAGCTCTAATTTCATAACATTTAATATCCAATAACAATTTTAACAGCACTAGCAAAAGATAATGTAACGGATTCAATACCGTGCAAAAATCAAGTTTCACCAGCTCTTACGCGCCGAACTACCGGTCTCGAAACGAGACGATTTATCGCATCTCCGTCGCAATTATTCCAGATAAACGCGACGCGGAAAAATTTTACCGCCCGATTTTTGCTCTCTTATATTCCGTTTCTATATATCCGAGATATACGATGCTTTTACGTAATGCAAAGTGCGCGAGCATTTTTGCGGCCGCGCCTAGGAAAATATCTATCGGACGCAGATAAGAAGAGTCGATAAAATTGTATATCGAGCGCGATGTTTCATCAACACTTGTCTGGTATGCTCGTAAATTTTTTTTTCTGTACGAAAGACGTTCGCAGTCCTTGAAATTGATCACACTTTTCAATCAAGTGAAAGATATATATTTAGCATTCAAACGATTGTGCTAGATCATTTCTGACTTGTATTCCACTGATTGATATATTAGAAGGTTACAGTAAAAGCCGCTGTTCACGTCTAAATGGCTCTAGCTGCGTATGCTGTTAGGCACGGTTGTTACTTATGTCATTTTGAAGTGTAAACACTTCCCATTAAAATTTAATTAACAGACGCTTTTCTTACACGTGCTTTTCTATATAACCGAATTAAAATGAAACGCGATAAGTTGTTTTCCCGATGTGTACTTCTCGCTCTACAAATCGCCGAGAAGTGGAGAAGTGATTCTTCTCCATGACAATGCTTGGCCCCATGTCGGCTATAGCCGTGAAACAACTGCTGATGGGAGCTCGAATGGGAGATTTTTTCTCCCGCACCCAGTGTATTACGTAAAAACAGACCGTCTTTCTTTCTCGACGCGGAATTCAATTTTTGCCAGAAAAGTGAAAAAAAGTCATAGGTTTCGAAGGCAAATACTTTAATTGATGTATTCACACATTTTATTATTGAAATAAAACGTTCAAAAAACACAAAAAAACAGCAATTTTTAATGCAATCTCCTAATATTACCTGATGACGATGTAACTGTTCAAAATGAAACACCGATTAAGCCAATGTTTAAAACCAAATGGGTATGTAGATATAGATCATTTTAAGTAGTTACGCGAAGTTCCAAATGAAAATATCTGATTTTGTATTATTTGCAATAAAAAAAGTTTTTTTGCTTTACACAAATATACCACAAATATATTAAACAAATTATAAATTAAACATATTATACATTAAAAAAATTTTTTTAAACATATAATTATTTTATTTGTTGTTATTTAAATATTTATATTTAGTTATGATTATAATCTACCAAATACCCATCGGATTTTGAATGACCCAGCCATCTCCAATAAAGACGAAAAAAGTTGTAACGACTCGACTCAAGTCGAAATGACACGCAATATACTTTTTTTCCGTAGCGAATACAAGTTTTATCCAGTGTCATCAAGGAATAGAAGAGAATTGAAGACACCGACAACAAGAACGACCGGTGTAAGTGATCCCCGGCATTACCAAGTGTCGACTACCCCGTCGTCGAGGTCGCGGTATTGCCGCGTACGCGCATTCTATCAATGCGGTAGAACGAGATTTATTTTGCTGCGCGGACGAAGCATAATATAAATTAAAACGAATCTATAAAAATAATAAAAATTTTAAACTTTTTGAATTGAATCTCTGAGAAGGAAAATATTCTGTTGTTGCTATCTGCTTGTAACATTCGGGTAGGAAATTCCCGGGCTAATTATCACGCCGCGGGTGCGATCTCGACGTGACGAAAAGCGAAACGACAACGACCCCCCTATTTGCAACTAATGAGGATTGGCGATAACGCAGCAGGTCACTGCGCAACTTTTTCTGACAATCAGTGAAAAAGGAACGAAGAGGAGTCGCTTGCAGAAATCTGAGAATCGCAATTAGAAGATACTTTCTCGACGAGGATGTTTTTCGGATTTGAATCGCGTTAGTGTCATTTTTATATCAACGCTTCGTGAACATTTCAGCTCGCTTCATCGGAGTTTCAAGAGCAGCCTGATGGAGGATGTTTTTATCGAAAAGAGCGTCTGTTATTACGTAATGTCGAAGTATTATCATCAGTATTAATGCAAACATGCAGTTGACAAAACATTCGCAAAAGATGCATTATATCCCACGCGCGAATGGCATCATAAATATTAGAACACTGTCGGTGATTATTAATGCATCGGCGAAACGATTGCACGACCTCGTATAGTCCATCGGCGACGCTGTGCGAGGAACATGATCGAGCACCAAAGAAACAAGCCAACACGCCCGTGATGGCGGCAGCATGGTAACCTTTTTTCTGACATTTCTGCCTCATAGGTTGGTTTATTCAAAAGGTTAGACCGTCTCGCGCTCTCGAATATCTAGCGCGGTCGCGAGGGAACGAGCAAGAGACCAGAATAGAAGAAAGAGAACACACCGACGTGTCTTCAACGGTTCTGGAGCTCTTTCGCCGAGTAATCTCCTCTTCCTGTCGAAGGTCGACGCGAGGTGGATGTGCGTTCGCCGAACCGTATCGCAAGGTTCGAAACATCGTTTGTTCGTAAGTGCGTATCGGGTAGTTGGACGGTCGCTCGTGCGTTGCGACGGGCAAGTAGTCACCCAATCAGAGCGAGAAGGAAACAAAAGAAAGGTGAAAAGAGTTATCGCCTCGTGAGATCAAGAGCCTACATCCTGTCTGGAAAACACCGCAGAACCTTCGGCCCCGGTGTGCAGTTATTGTCGATCGATTGTTAAAATTACCTGATATACCTCGGTTTCCACGCGGAGCAGGATCCCTCCTTCCCGCCCCTCCCTTTTTTGAGATTCTCGCTCTTCTCAATATAAAGCTCCCGCGCGTGTTTCATGGCCCGGAAAAATCATGGATCGATGAATAAAGAGGTGAGCCCGGAGATCACAGCTCGCTTCGCCGTTTTATTGTTTCTCGCGTCTTTGTCGACTCGCGTGTCTCATTCTGTTATTTCATACAGTTACTTTCAGCGCGCGAGATCGTCCTTGCCCGACTTCTCGCTTTTCAAGAATGCGTTCGACACGTCTCGCGCGCGCGCTTGTTAGAATTTAATAAATGTATTCTCATACTTATATATATATATATATATAAGTATATATAGTATACATACATATAGTATACATTGATCGCGCTCAGCACGACTCTTCTCGAAAGCATATACGATTCGCAACTCTTACTTTCCTACTAGCAAGAGAAATATGATTTCTTTCTCTCTCTCTCTCTCTCTCTCTCTCTCTCTCTCTCTCTTTCTCTCTTTCTTTCTCATAAGTATACGCGCGCGAAAAACCGAGACTGCGCGCTCGATTCCAACGCGAATCGACATCAACTGCTAACCGCCTGAATACATATGTATACAACTCGACGGTAAATTCAATCGCCTTCGGAGATATGTATTTCCGACGTCGCTCGGGTAGGTCTTTGCACGCGGAGAGAATTGCTAGTAACGCGTCTCCGCGTGTCATTTAAAGAGCCGCGTGTTGCACGTGAATTCAGAGAAAGTCACACGCTCGTAAATCAAGACCGGGCATGAGTACCGTTAGATTTGTAATGATAATTCCATGGTAATGCATGCGATTCGGTCGAGCGAACGAAACGAGAAAATAATTAACGACTCCGCGTAATCCGAGTATGCCGAACTATCAGCCGCGATGTTTGAAGGATTCTTGAAGAATTTGCGAGTTTGTGCGACGTCAGCGGAGCGTTAAAGCAAAAAATCCCGAGAAGAGATGTCTCTTTTGTGTCCGTTAAGGCTCTTTAACTTCGATTCCCACATCCGGTGGATAGATCACTTAATAATTCTGCTTTGCATGAGAACGCAAACATATCCATTAAGTTTTACCCTAATGATACAATTTCCGTTGCAATGTCTCTTACCTCGAATTTATATAATGTTCCGAAAAAAAAAATATAGAAACATATCATCATATAAGATTATGCGCGAGTGATCAGATCGCGCCAAATTTCGGATCTAATCTCATATGATCTAATACATATATGATTTTATATGATTATATCAGATCAGATTCAAAATTTGGGGCGATCTGATCACTTACGCATAATCTTATTTGATTATATGTGTTTCTATTTTTTCTCAGATATATTATAATAAATATATTAAACATAATTACCGTGTATATATATATATATTGCATTGGTTTCTTTAATGGCGTAGTCTAGCGTACCGTTCTGCCAATTACATTTTTTTCGTTCTCATTGAAAAGAAACAGTAATTATGGAAAATTATATGGAACCTATCTATGTTAAGAGAGCGAGACGAACCCAACAAGTCACAAATTACATCGGCGATCTCAGATTGTGCATGGTTGTCGTTGATTAATAGGCGTACGAGACGCTTAAAGGGTTTTCGAGATCAGTTTTGCGCGACGCTTCGGATTTCCGGACAATCTATCGATCTTCGCGAGCTGTATCGATCACGCAGACTTAAGATGTACTTACAGTTACCTCTAATCCAATTGATCGATCGCTCAGATAAGCGCGATGCACGATGGGACATCTGCAGACATATCTGCTATATAATAACGACGCCACGCTTGGAAACGGGCAAGATCGGTTGTTTACTATTCAATTATTTTGCAATTGCGGAACCGCGTATATGCCATCTGAACGCACTAAGTGCTTTTTAATTTGCTCAAAATTTTTAACAATTGACCGTCTCAGAATAAGCAGCGCGGAAATACTTGTGCTCTTGAGAACTAATTTTTTTAACAATAATAATAAATATTAATAACATCGCAAAATTATATAATAATTCTATATAAAAATGTACTCACCCTTGATGAGAATGTGGAGGAGCAGGTCTCGGTGGAGGCGGTAAGGACTTTCTCCCGGGCGTGTTCTGCCGTGGTGCTAAAGGCGGCGGCGGAGAACTCGGAGAACCGGTGCTGTATCTATCCGTAGGACATTGAGGCTGAGGTTTCTGTTTGGGCGTATCAACATATTTCGGTGGTAACGCGTAGTAATTTCTCTGCGTCGCGTCACCGGAACGTTGATGATGATTAGGAACGTATTTCGGCGGTTCGTGATACTTCTGCGGACTCGACTCCGAAGGAAATAGTTTCGAACTGGCCTCGTATCCCGTTTTCACGGGACTGCCGATGGAAAAGCTGTGATTTCCGCTTTTTAAGTATTTGGACGGACTTTTCGCGATCTCCGTCACCGGTAAATAATTCGGTCTCGATGGACTCGCGATAGAATTCTTATCTGTGTTTTTAGGCACTTGAGGTTGAGGTCTCTGCCCTGAAGAAGACTCCAATCTTTGACCGGAATCGCTTCTCAACAAACCAGACGCGTCAACGCGCGTTCCGTCAACTCGCATTGATTCCTGTCGAATAATCCTCGGCTCTACCGGAACTTGCGGAGCCGGTCTCTGATTTCTGGAATCGCTGTATCTTTGCGATATGAGATCAGGCAGTTGCGCCGGGGGTCTGGCTGAGAAAGGTCTTTCTTCGGACAGTCTTCTCGTAGATGCTATTCTGCCGTTCACCATGAGCTTCTGAGTGGACGGATATCTTAAACTGGAACGTTCTGTGGCCACCATTCTGTGCGTTGCAAATCCGGCCGATACTCCGTTCTCCAGCACCATTTCGGAATCTACGTGCTTCAGCGCAGCGGAAGATCTCACGAACTGATGTTGCTCCTGTTCTTGCGCGTTCGTTTTCGTCGAAATTGGCGAGGATTTACCAGCGGATTTATCGTGATCTCTCTTACCGTTGTGCTTTGATCTCTTCATGGAGTGTCTTTCCGACTTGTGACGTTCACATGATCTTTCACGACTGATCTTTGCTGTTTCTTCTGTCTGATGATGAACGTTATTGAACTTACGCTGAGCCTCCGTGAAACAATCTTCACTCAGCTCGGGCGGTGGCGGTGGCAACGGATCGTCGCAATCATGAACCTCGTTTTCCGTGACCGTCGGTGGCGATGGTGGCGGCAAATCAGGGCTAGGCATACGCTCGTTGTAAACGTTTCTCAAATGTGGCTTTTTAGGTGGCCTCTCTGGCACCCACTCGTCTATCGATATCGCGGGTCCGACTATCACGGGGCCCAATAAATCCGTAGAAAGACTGCTGCAACTGTTGCTATGCTGATGCTTTGGATTCAGCATGTCACCGTTCCCTTGATTCTTGGTTTTGTTAACAATTTCTCTCCACGTACCACTGGCATAGTCCGACGCTGAACTGGCTCTTCGAGATGAGGATGGTCTCGGTCGAGGTGGAGGCTGCGGTGGAGGACTCTGAGGACTTTGTGGACTTTGAGGACTTTGAGGAGCTGGTGCACAACCCTGAGCCAACTGTGGCTCGGACCGCCACGATGCCTGATGATGTCTCTCGTAGAAAGACAACAGTGCTTTCTTTTGGATCGCTTTCAAGGTAGGATCGGAAACTCGATGACGTTTTTCTGGATCAAGATATGTGTAACGCATTTGTTGTTGTTGTTGCTGCTGCTGCTTTTCAAGTTCGTTGATGCGTTCAGCTACTGAAAGCGGTTGTGGCGGTGAGTTTAAAGCCATTCTAAAAAAAAATCAAATATCACATACATACATATATATATAGTTTTATTCGGATTTATTACAAAACAATACATCATCAAAAACGAAAATGTATAAATACCTTGAGGACTGTGTAGATTCTTGCGGCTGTGTTGTACTGACAGGATAAAGTTTCCGTTGATTGCGTTCACGGTCCCAGTACAGCACACTTTCCGAATGATGTCGCTGAGGAGTCTGTACTCTAGCACTGTGAGCGATAAGCTGTTTGCTGCACTGCATTCCATTGGTCGATGTCTGACTCACGTCGGACATCGACCCATGCATCCAATTTTCAGGACTCTGTGGGCTGACAACCTGCTGGCGCGTGGGACTCTGCGGCATTGGTTGAACGTATTTGTCGTTTTCTAGTCTGTCAGAGATATCCCACTGATTCATTTGCGATCTGTCATTCAAGGAATCGTCGTCGATGTTAGATTCCTGCCACTTGCTCTCTCGAACAGCCGACGTCTGGCAGATATCGCTGATCGACGCGGAAGTCGTACAGTGATTGATCACCGCCGGTAAACTAGGTCTGCTCTGTCCCTGCTTGTTTCGATCGTTCATCGAAGTTTGCCATTTGTCAAGGCTGTGTCTTCCTTTCGTCATTCCGGATGTGCTGACGTCGCTCATAGAACTCTGCCACTTCTCATGACAACTAGTGTTGGACTTTTGAGTTAAAATCCCGCCGTTCACACTGCTGACGTCTGACATAGATCCATGATGCCATCGATCCGATGCACCTTGACGAGGTGGCATACCGCTCGATACGCTAACGTCAGACATCGAGCCGTGCCATTTTAAAGTTTCGCTGCTAGATGCGCTGCCGCTGGATGTAGTCACCACGCTATCTCTTCCTTCACGAGAAGTATCTTCCCAAGATACAGCGGGTCTTTGTGCTACCGCCTCGCTGTCTCTTCTCAATCTGATAAGAAAGAGCGGTCTCTTATTAGCGTTACAAAGACGTCACGTGGTGTTTGATATTAATGATAGACACAAAAGCAAATCTCACCTGTCAAGAAATGGCGTGTTCGTTGTGGAATCCACACTGGATACATAACTGTGATATCCTTCGGATTGTGCGTAACTAGCTTGCTGAGAATGTTGCACTCTCGTGTATTCCTCAAGACCCGCTTGCATTAAACTTGTTTCGCGATAAAGATCCACCTAATAGAAAGAAAAATAGAGTAACAATGAATTAAAAGATACAAGTAATTAAATGTGTGCAGCTACTAAGCACTACACGTTCCATTGCGTGTATTGTCGTGTTACTTACTTGGGACACCTGAGGATCTTGGTAGCTTCTGACGTAAGCCTCCAGATCAGCGTGACTCAAAGTCTGAGACTGCTGTTCGCGTTCCGGTGGTGACGGAACCGCATATTCCGCGTCACCCAAAGCTTTACCCTCGCGATCCACGCGCGGCCACAGTCTTGGTTCTTCCTCGACGCCACTTCTGTTGCGTGACTCGTAAGTCTCAGCTGGGATCTTCTCGCAACGCTCCATTACCGTCTTCAACTGCAATAATCAATTTTTTGCAGTGTAATAGAAAATCACAACTGTACACGAAAAGTAGCACTTGCTGAAGTAATGTTTATTTCAGAGTTTATTTTCACAATGTAAACACGTTTGAAAGTAGGACGATACTTAACAAGAAAAAAAAAAAAAGAAATATATAGAACAAGATGTCTATTATATAAATTCTAACCATTGTTCTGTAATATATATATATATATATATATATATGTACGTGCTAAGTTTTGAACTATAAAATAAAGAGAGACCAACATTACGAGTGCTCATTATGTTATTTATTTTTTAGTTTAAAAAAAAATAATTCAAAAAATTCTGTATACATTGCGGCATGAAGGGAGATAATTCCGTGCATTCTCGAAAATGGAAACTGGGCCAGTTCAATAAAATAAAACTTTACGATCAGCTGAAAAAAAGGGAACGCGGACTAATTTTAGCATTTTCTTCTGTTTTTTTTTTTTTTTGCTTCTCCTCTCTGGAGTATCAGAAGTTGTTGTTATGTACCAGAATTTATGGTGATGCGGGTCGGACCAACGAAATACCATGGCCTACTTTTGAGAAAGCCGGTAGCGCGCGATGGCGATTATGTCACCAAGAGAAAGGAGGGTGCGGGTGTGGGAGATTAATTGCGTACGTCGTTTTAAGGCGCAGCACGATACATACATCAAGGTCCTGCCCCGCGGTGATCCCGACTCTCTTGGCACGGCACGCTCGCCCGAATAAACCTTAATTGTTAAACACACGGATAGCGCTGACGTGAAACTTCGTAATCCATTTGAAAGCGCAAGAAAATTGTTTCGATAAGCACCGCTGCCTCGTGACTTGTTTATACTGCGGTACTCCGAAGTCGCGCAAACGAGATTTGATTTTGCAACCGACGGGACAATCGAGAACGGCCGACGCAGTGAATTCCGTGTATAACTAGGAAATCTTTAGAAGAATCGGTCACATGCGTTGCGCTATTTGCCAGATAAAAAAGGAAAAGTTTTTTTATGGAAAATTGTGACTGGCGATAAGAAGTAGATACAATAATCCGAAATGTAAAAAGCATTGAGTAAATACCGGATATCTAATTTACTAGAAACTGATGGTATTTCCAAACCTGAAAAAAGATTCATATTTTGTCGACCAGTGTAATTACAAAGCGCTTGCTAAGCGCTGAGTTCTACTGAACGCAGCCTTTGTTAAATATGTATTAACTTTGTGTTTTTGATACATTCATACATTTGCGTAATGTTCGTAATCAGCGCAATATACCTGCTAATGTGTATTACAAACATTACATACATAGTTCAACTTAGATATTTCAAACATATTGCGTTAATTACGTATTTATTATATTACATATATTTGATATAAAATGAAACGCAATGTAAATGCAATATTGTTACGTATTTAATATGTAATAGCAATGATAGATGCTGTGCGGATTTTGCACACCCTTAATGTACAAATGCGCGATCTTCAGATTGTAGATATGTAAACACATAAACGAAAGTTATACAAAAAGCAGGAAAAAGAGAATTCAAGAACTTGTATAAGTTTACCTGCTGCGTGAATGTGGGATTGGGTCTTTTCGTGTGTGGTCTGGTGTACTGGGCCGGTTTCTCCTTTGGATAGTTGGTGTGATCGGTCCAAGATTTGGAGCGATGAGAGCCGCTGTGTCCCGAACTGTGGATATCCTCACAGGGATGTTCCGGTGCGCTCGGCCACGATGGATATTTCTCGTGTCCCGGGCCGTAACACACGCCTTTGAGACTGGAGGCATCCCTAACTGGCGGTGTTGGTGGTGGCGAGGCTTCGTCTCTCTCATTAAGAGGAAGCGTGAAGCTGTCAAATCCGACGCTTTCACTGTACCTAAAGTGATAGTGATAACGTTTATGCTTAAAGTACAGTCTGTTCCACAAAAAGAAAATGACCGGCATAATTTTGAAGGAAATGTCCGTGTAGCGCAACCAGTGTATAAAGTTTCTTTGATGGTGACGAGACAAACTGACAAGGGAACTTCGCAAAGTGGAAAATTTTGATTTAAATTTATTTCAATAAATTTATTTCAAAAAAGTATATTTGCAAAAGCGAGAGAAAGAGAAAAATGCATTTTGTATAAAGACAAAACTGTTGGTCGAGTATCACAAATGTTCTGTGTCTTTTTGCAAGTTTTTGATAGTTGCTTCAATAAATTAATGTCAATAAATATATTTCACTAATTTATATGTGCAAAAGCGATCAAATACACAGTTTGTCCGGAAAGTTCCCGGACTACGTGAATTAAAAATCGAAAATGAAAGATATGGTTTATTAAACAAGTTTACACTTCAAGG